CGGTTCAGTAAAGATGGGTGGAGAGGGGCTTACTCTGTCTCAAAAAAAAAAAAAAAAAAAAACTGTACTGCTGCAGTCATTTAGATGGAAATGGGGAAAGACCAATAATAATAACTGATTTCAAAAAGGACTTGAAGATGTGAATCATCTGTTTTGCTGAAGAAATCTTAACTCTGAGATTACTTTTTATTGCTGTTGTTATTGCTTTTAGGTGTCAAACTGCGGTAAATTTTTATCAGAAAGCCAGGGTCTTTGAAGCTTTGATGTGAGATTCAGGTTGTGTTCTTGGGGTCCCAAGAGTCTGCCAGAGTGCCCAGCTTAGTATATGCTGGATACATGTTGATAAAGGAATCTGTGCTTTTGTGTTTCTTAGGGAAGTTTGGCGTCATTTGCTTGGAAGACCTCATTCATGAAATTGCCTTCCCAGGGAAGCATTTCCAGGAGATCTCATGGTTCTTGCGCCCTTTCCACCTCTCAGTGGCCCGACATGCTACCAAAAATAGAGTGGGCTTCCTCAAGGAGATGGGCACACCTGGCTATCGGGGTGAACGCATCAATCAGCTCATCCGCCAGCTGAACTAGACCCAGGTGAGGCAGGGCTGAAAATTGCCCTTTGGTTGACTTTCGATGGGCCATGCCTTGCCACTTTACAAATTCTTTTTGCATTTACTAGTATTTAAGAGTAACCTTGAGATTGGAAGGAGAAAGGAGGCTAGTACAAATAGATAGAGACCTGCTGGGATCAATGAATGCCTGATTAGGACATGGAGCTATGCATAGCCTGAGTTATAGGCTTAAAGATGTCGAGTAACTAAAAACTATTGCTGGCCGGGTGCCAGGATGGTCTCGATCTCCTGACCTCGTGATCCGCCCGTCTTGGCCTCCCAAAGTGCTGGGATTACAGGCTTGAGCCACCGCGCCCGGCCGGACTTCGGTTCTTTATTAGGAATATTTCCAAGCATTTCAGCTGGAATGTGATTGCAGAACACTTGCTTGTTGGGAGAAGTGGGTATGTGGGAGAATCTCTCCAACCTCTCCTCAGCCAGGCTGCAGGACTGGTATGTAGTGTGCCGG